TTCAACACTAAACCACGTCCTCAAGTGCCACATCCACACGTCTTCTGAACGCTTCCAGGAGTGGTGACTCCACCACTTCCCACATGTGCCAGCCCAGCTGGTTTCCCCCCAGCACTCCCACCCCTGAAGCTGTGCCTCAGCATCCCTCACACTCCCACCCAGCTGAGCTGGTGCATCACTTAGGAGAGAGAGAACAAGTGGTCCCAGGGGCTGCAATCATTAATCTGGGCCTGTCAGCACTAAACAAGAAACAATTAAAGTTTTCAAGCAGAGAGAGCTCAGCTTTTTAATCCCACAATTACAACCGGCATCGAGAATATCGAACCATTTGCTGAAGGTACAGAGAAGGGAGGTGTGACAATCCTCATGGCTATTCCCAAGAGATGCAAGGGTATCCCAAGAGGGATGTGGAGGTGACAAGGTCCCAGCATTCCACATGACAGGGGTGATGGTGGCCCAGGGGATGTTGTCTGTGGGGACCCAGGGGGTGCTGAGAACCATGACGGTGGGTCCTTACTGGTGTCACTGGGCAGAGCAAGTCTCCATCCAGCTCTGCCCTGCCCTGATCTGAAGGATCCAGTGAAAGAATACACATTTTCTTCAGCAAAGAGGCTGCTAACAACTGCCTGAACACACCTAGGAATATTCCTACTCACTTCTGTGAAGTTCCCACATTCCCAAAGCACATGGGAAGAACGTTCTCAAAGCAGAGGGTTTGCCATGAAACCAGATCCCCGGGCCCATGTCTTTGAAGACATGGAAGCAGCTAATTCCCAGTGGATACAGGAGGGATGAGAATCCAACCCGAAGCATCTAGGCCAGGTTTTTGTTAGAAAAACATCATTTCTTTCCTAAATTTCCTGCTAATATTCCCCCCTCCTCCCTCTGAGCACACACACGTGCTCTTTCTAAGAGAATCCTAACGCTTGCAGTCTGTCATTCAACGGGGAAAAAAATAGCAAGAGCCAAGTACAGGGATGAATAAAATTATCCCTGCGCATATAAATGTGCAATATGTAAATGAACACTCCTTCCTGAGGAGGAGGAGGAGGAGTGGGGTGCGGCACAGGGCTTTGTGTGAACCCTCTGCACGTGCTGGGTTCCACAGGAACAGGAGAAACTGTGAGGAGCCGCGTTTTTTCAGCCCAATATCTCATTTATTAACCTAATAGGAGTATTTTTGGCACCGATTCATGAAAGCACTTAGAGACATTCATCCCTAAGCACCCCTCCTGGAAAGCAATCCCTGTCCTCCAGGCAGGTATACAGCATTATTTTCAATGCAGCCGCGGCTTTGAGGAAGAAATAACACACTTTTCATGTATGGGAGCACATTTAACCCCATTGTTTCGAAAGCAGTTGCTCTCTGTGCAACAAACACGGTGACTTTTAAGTGCTAATTTTCTCCCAGACACCAAACAAAATGGTGTCTTCACTCACTTATCCCGGGCTGGGAGGGTGGGGGTTTTGCTTTCTTTTTATTATGTGTTTTTCACATTACACTTGCTAATAAAGCCAGCGTTGTAAAAAGAAAAAAAAAATATTGAACAACATAAATTGAGGTTAAATGTGCAGATTTTAAATATGTTCTCAGCCAGTGCTAAACAAGAGGTGACACAGGCAGGAGGGGAGAGCTGATTACTTATGCTGACTATTACTTCACCCCTCAGAGCCACAATGACCTGAGTTTTCTTAATCACCAGACTATTCAGCAGAGTGGAAATTGCACCCACATGGAATATTTATCACCCTCTGAATCCAGCCAAGTCTCCATACCCAGCAAACCCAGATACCAATATGTGAGTGACCTCAGCTCCTCTGGATAGAAAACCAACCCCCCTGGAACATGTTCCTGTGGCTTTTTACCAAAACCAGACATTTTAACTGCTTTAACTTCTCAGTGGATGGAAAGCTGACTTGGTTACCAATCAGCCAGGTTAAGAACTTTAAAAGTTTATATTACCATAGAATCATGGAATGGTTTGGGTTGGGAGGGAGCTTAAAGATCATCCAGTGCCACCCCCTGCCATGGGCAGGGACACCTTCCACCAGCCCAGGTTGCTCCAAGCCCCATCCAACCTGACCTTGGACACTTCCAGGGATCCAGGGGCAGCCACAGCTTCTCTGGGCAACCTCATCACCCTCACAGGGAACAATTCCTTCCTTATATTTAACCTAAATTTCCCCTTTTCCAGTTTTAACTCATTCCTGCTTATCCTGTCACTACAGTTCCTGAGGAAGAGTCCCCATCTGGCTTCCCTGTATCCCCTTCAGATACTATCAGGCTGCTGCAAGTATCTGGTAAATGGTCTCAGGAATTAAAGCTTTAGGAAAAAAAATAAATGTAAGAGACAATGAAGATTTTTATGTAGCAAACAGTCCCATCCTCTCCCCAGCCCCTCTGCAGATATGGAATTATGACAGGAATGGGGTAGTGCCACACAGAAGTCTGGAAGGAGCAAACAGCATGAAAAGCCCCTACAATTGGATAATTTCTCAACAATTTTCCATGCTCTGAAGGTCCCTTTGAAAAATCCATGTGGCAACTGTCAGGCAGACAAAAGCCTCTCTTTGTAACTTCAGTCTCCCAGAATCACCCTCATCCCTTCTCCGACAGAAATCACTGCTCTTATTGTGTAGGATTAACCACTGGGCAGCAGAACGAGACATAGGAGAGGAGGAAACCACCAGAGAATCACAGAAACACGGAATATCCGGAGCTGGAAGGGACCCACAAGGATCCTCACAGCCAGTGAGCCTGGGTGGAACCTCTCTGTGCATTCACTGTTCAGCTCCTCGTGCCTGATTTTTATCTGAAAGCTCCCCCAGTCACATGAAGATTTTTGAATCAAGTTGCTTATCAATCCTGCCAGGTTTGGAGTGTGCTGTGATAGCATTTACCAGGCTGCTGTAAAATCAGGGAGGGTTATTGGGTGAAACTGGGGAGAAACACATCAAAAAATAGCTCAAGCTGTGAAGTTGTCTTCACAAATCTAATATTAACTCCAAATTTTCTTTATGTTTTCAATCATGCTGGTTTACTAATGAACAGAACTGAGGAGGGTCTTTATATAAACTGGCAGTCAATGTCTCCTAGCAAAAAATAAACCCCCAATTTTTTATCTGTTGAGAAATGTCATCCCCCAGCCGCCTTGTCCAACGGCATGAAGTTGTGTCAGGGCAGGTTTAGATTGGATCTCAGGGAAAGGTTCTTCCCCCAGAGGGTGGTTGGCACTGACCAGGCTCCCCAGGGCAGTGGGCACAGCCCCAAGGCTGCCAGAGCTCCAGGAGGGTTTGGACAACGCTCTGAGGGACAGGGGGGGATTGTTGGGGTGTCTGTGCAGGGCCAGGGGTTGGATCAATGATTAATTGTGGGTCCTTTCCAACTCAGGATATTCTATGATTCTTTCTGCTGCTGAGGGATATTTCTGCTTTCTAAATCTGTCAGATCAGAAGTAAATAAGAGACAGACAATAAAGAATAGTTGAGGAAATGTGATAAATACTCTGAATAGCAAAGAGCAGAAGCGCTGCTTTCCCCACTCCTTTCCACGTCAGCCTATGAAAGCAAACTAATTCCTATCATGACTGGTTGGAAGGATGGAAAATAAACTCCTTCCTTTTACAATATCAACAGCAAATTAAACTAATAATTTTCAAAATTTACTCCACCAATGCAGGGAAACACACCCTGAATTCCAAGTGCATCGGGAGCTCTGCCGGAGTCATCGAGACCTGGACGTGCAGAGCATGAGCAGGGGTTTGCCTGGCACATGGGCCTGGGTGCAGCTGGAATAGGGGATTTCAAACAGATGGAAAAGGGAAAGTATGCAAGCAGAAGACAGTTGGAGTCACCTTCCCAATCCATATCCAATGGAGTTTTGTGTGTGACCCCAAAATGGAGCTCTGAACAAAACTGTGAGCCTGCACTTTTCTTCTCTTGCTTCTGGGCAATAACAATTCTCAGCATTTTATGGACACCATCCTGGTTTGTCCCCAACCTTTCCAGGCCTACATCTCACAGCATATCATTCCCAAATCTCCCTGACAGAGGAATGTTTCAGCAGGTGAACCCCTGCAGCTCCATCCCACCCCACGGGAGGGTGAGCACAGGCTCCAGGGAGCTGCCCAACCCCTGGGGTTTGGAGGAATCCTCATACCTCTCCTTGAATTACCACCTTTTGAGGAACTACTGGGATGCTCCACAGAGCAGGCCTGCCCAATCATGGAGTCGTGACTCTGTCACAACTCAGAATCTCTCCCTCTTGTTCCCAATTTCTCCTTTCAACAGAGAGCAGGGAAAACAAAAGGCACCAAAAGGTATCAGAGCTCCCCTGTAGGTCAGATTATACACAGTAAAAATGCTTTTTGGAGGTTTCCCTCAGCACAAGCACAGGACACTGGCTGCTTTTTCTTAAAAGTGGGCACAGAGTGGGGTCAGATTTTAGGCAAGACACAAGTTTTTCAAACTGTTACCAGTAGAAACACTTTTTTTCAGGCTTTTATATGGATGTTGCACTCCAAGTGCTTTTGAAAATCCAACTACTTCACCATCTCTAGGTGTTCAAACCACAGTCCCAGCAAATCAGATAAACAAAACAGTTTAAAAATATGCATGAATTACAAAAAAAATCACTTTGCTGTAGAAGTTTATCATTTCTCTGATGTGCTCTCGGCATTCAAAATTTAAGCATCAAGTTCTTTGAAATTACTGTGACACTTCCCCTGTGCAAAAACCACAACACAAAGCTGAACTAAAACACACCGAGAAATTTCTCAAAAAACTAGAGAACATTTGCAAACCAGAGAGATCTTTTTTCAGAATAGAAAGATTTCTCTGCCAGCACGAAATCCAATCCATCCCTGGGTTTGACCAAAGCAGCCGCTTTAACAAACAAGGGAATGACTTGGACACAGAAGCCCTTCAAAGGGCTTTTTCTTACAGATTTTTTTGCACCAATGGACCTTAAAAGCCCCAGTGAAGTTTATTAAAGTCCTTACCAGTTAACTTCTTCACAGGTTGGAGCCGAACACTGATAGACTGATGTGTGAGTAAGGGGGAGGATGGAAGGGAGCGGGACATGCCCTCCATAATCCGAATGTGCTGCATACCTTCGGTCACTGGGAGAGGAGGAATTGCGTAGTCGGGTTCAAAAGCACAGTCGTTCTCTGTGGAGGTGCCTGGAGGGAAGAGCAAAACCAAAATGAACTGGTTAGAAAGTGAGCAAGGGAGAGAATCCTGCTTTGTCATTCCAAGACAGGGGCTGGCACGGGGGGAGCCCCGCGGCAGAGTCGCCTCGCCGGCCGCTTGCCCGTGTTCCCCTCCTCAACAGTGTTGGCACTTCCCTTAAAGAAATTATACTTTGGAACAGCATCTCAGCACCCCTCTCTACAAGATGAACAGCAGAACCATGAAGAATTTCTTTCAGTGTTCTTAATTTGTCTGTCAAGAGTCTGAGAGTCACTAGTTTTCAACATAGCGATTGTCACCAAACTGATGGTTTTTAGATTGTGGGTTTCTAAGAAAAAACTCTTCCAGTTGAAGTGAATTTCAATATGAGGACCTTTAGCCCCCCCAAAAATTCCCAACCCCCAAATAAAATGGAAGAACAAAAGCCTCCAATAACAAGCACCAGCTCCAACTCTCCCCAGAGACACACAAAGCCCGTGTGGGGGTCGCACCACTGAAGATCCACATGTAAGACACAAAATAACACGAAAACAAGTGGAGATAGAACAATAAAAGCACATATTGCTAATTGGTGTAATCAATATTAATGACAAATGAAGGGCAGGTGCTCCAGATCAGCAAGAGTTGGGAGCCAGAAGGTTCCTCCCATTAGCTGCAGATATGGAAATCTCGGGGTCAAGGACACTTGGATCTCCACCTCTCGTCAGTAAGATGAACAACCTAACCCAGACTACTAATAATTCATCTGCAAAACCAACCTGAAACTGTTAACATGAATATTTCATCACTAATAATGTGAGAAGGCCACATTTCTGCCACACTGTTACGAGATGGATTTTGGCTTTCAGTGCCTGCTGATGTTTTCCCTCCATAAAGATGTTCCTTATTGGATTTCCACTGGATAGCTGTGCTGTTCTCAATGGCTAGTGAAAATATGTTTACAAGAGAAAATGCAACTGCTGGACAGAAGAGGAGACAGACAAAAGCGGGGAGAAGACAAAAGGGCAGCGCCTCCAACACGTGGTGCTCCAGAGGAGACAATGGACTCGCTGCATTCCTGATATCCAAAGGACAACGTGAACAATCCAACGTGTTGTTGGAAAAACCCACATGGAAATAACTGCCAAAAGTCTTGGACTGGTTCCTGAAGGGTTCTGGGAGGTTGAAGCACTGGTGGCCGAGATCCATCCATTCCAGATGCCAACTTTCAGGAACATCTCTCAGCGGTTTTGTTCCATACTTTACAGGAAACCCAAACAAGCACTAACACCCTTCACACACACACTGGTTTTGACAGTTCCAAACACAGCTCTCACTCTCTGCTCTCTGAACCCTCTCAGATACCATGGGCTGAACCTGCTGCTGACTCTGCCAGCCCGGTCAGGCTCCCTGGGAGCTCCAGGGAAGACAAACCAACATTGCTGCCAAAACCAGCACCAGCCTACAGAGGGTTTTCAAAATGCATTTGTTGGCACCAGGTATGAAATAAAAAGATTTGCCACCACTGATTTTGATTCTTAAAAACAGTTTGAATTACCTCAGGCCTGATTTTAGGGAACAATAAACCAGGGGCATCTCCTGCAGCTTAAGGTCTGGGAAAGACCTCCAAGTCCACGGGTGTTTTACTGGTTATTATGGTGTAAGCTCCCAGTGTCTTTCATCAATCTGCCTAAAATCAAGGGCAGTATTTTATACAGAAATAAAGGAATTATTGGCAAAGTTTTCAGTAGCATTTCCCCTCTTAAAATTCAAATGCTTTACAACAAAACAGCGAACTCGCAAAACTCCCACAAGGTACCACCTTCATTCCACGGATGTCAAAATTTCTCTCTTCCCCCTTGGCAGAGTAAATGAACACACACACAAGGTCACTGAAACAGTCTGAAATTTGTTTTGGTAAGAAAGGACATTGGGTTTATCAAACCCTGGAATTAGGGATCATTCATGGCTGAACTGGAACTTGGACAGTTCGCTTACGGAATATACTTAAATAGAATGTTCCTGCAAAGTGCATATTTGAACTAATTAACTATTTCTTGGAGTTTTACAAGATAATCACAGAATTGTTCAGGTTGGAAAAGACCTTTAAGACCATTGAGTCCAACCATCAACCAGCACCATCACCATGTTCACCACAAAACTGTGTCAAGTCCCACATCCACACATTTTTCAAGCACTTCCAGGGATGGTGACTCCACCACTTCCCTGGCCAGCCTGTGCCAGGGCTGGACAACCCTTTCCAGGAGAAAACTGTTCTTAATATTCATCCTAAACCTCCCCTGGCACAACTTGAGGCTGTTTCCTCTTGTCCTGCCAACGAAGCTTTGCAGACACTGAGACACTTGAGCATCACGTGGCCAACGTGGGAGGTGGAAGAGCAAGAAGACAACTGCCCCATTTCAGCTGGATGCTTCATCCAAGGATAATAAACCCCCTTAACCCACCAGCATGAAAAATATCTGTTAACACATGCAGACAGATTGCAAGTGATGGGGACAGAGCAGGGCAAAGTTAAAGACAATATTTCTATGGAGTAAAGAGACTCCTTCCACACTGCAGAAAGTCTACATCTACAACTGCACCCACTGATCCAAAGGGAAACATTTAGCTCAGAAGTTTGTTTCTCCAAGAAGTTGGAAGCTTTTTTCTCCCCTTTTTTCCCCTCTTATGGTGACACTTCTCGCTAGTTCCTGCAGTTCCTTGACCCACTGAACAGGAACAGGTTGGTGATTCTTGAACAAGGATTTGCAACAAATCCCCACGTCCTCTGCCCAAACCCACCCCTTTCCCACAGCAGGGAAGATCCTGAATATCCAGGCTGAAAGGGAACCTGAGAGATCAGTGTGTGTGCAAGAAGTGTTGGAGGCAGCTCCCAGCAGCAACTCAGTTGCTCTACCCTGAAACAAGAAACCATATGGGCCAGACACAGGGAAGGACATCCCAGGGAGCCATGACAGAGGAAGGCTCAGCTTCCAGCAGGAACACAACAGCAACTTTATGGGAGCTCAGAATATGTGGGGAAGAGCAATATGAGAGTTCATTCTGCACCCTGAAACACAGTTCCCCATACACAAGCAGCCATGAGGTGTGTGCAGCTACAAAGTCCCTGGCTCCCTTCTCATTTTATTTTCACTCTATTTTAAAAGCAGGAAATTTAAAATAACGAATTTAAAACCAGTAATTAAAAGATCCTATGTGAGCAGAGCAGCTGACACCTCACAGGGCTTCAGGGTTTTAACTCCCAGCTCCGATCGCAGCTTCACTCAGTCATTTTGCCCGGGCACTACTGGAATACTGCCAAAAAAGAACAATGCTCTGGAGAAAAGGCTTCCATAATAAGTCATCAGGACACCATGACAACAACAGGCTTGAACCTAAATGAAAGGAAAATTATTGCTGCAATCCCAAAGAGAAAATAAGTCAATGCACGTAGCACCTACCAGAGCCCTGCTTCCCAAAAATGCTGCTCAGCCTCAAAGCCGTGTGAAAATACAGCATTTGCACAATCCTCACAAATGAGAAAATGCTTAAAACTAAGTAAAGCTGTTTCAAAGGACACCTAAGCCAGCAGAGATCTAAGAGCTGGTGCTGTCAGGGACAGAAATCCCCATTACACGGCTTTGTGTGCTGTTAACCACCAAACCTACTCTGAGGGATGGATACTCGACAAAGAGTTTGTACAATTGTTATTTTAGTAATATAAATCCTATTTTTAGTACTGTCTTCCTCAGACCTTTTTTCCCTGTTTCTGCAGGATGAAGGAAACCAAAGCTGAAGATGTAACACGGGGTTGTTCAGGACACACAGGTCCTTCTCCATCCCATCAGGGGGTTTGGAGAGGGATGATCTGGTTATGGAGAACCTGCCGGGTTCCCACTTTGCCATCGGGGGGAAGGCAAGTGGAAACTTGGAAACTAAGCATTGGTTTGGGCTGGTATGAGCTGAAGAACTCCAGCACCGCCAGCTCCCTGTGTAACTCCCCAGCTGGAATACGGAGACACCGCGCTCTGGAATATGGACTCTGTTGAGCCAGGAATTCGGGTAAACCCCTTCAACCACACAAAGGCTGTCTGGTTTGGGAATCCCAGCACGTTTGGGGGCAACAACAGCGGGTACAAAGCCCTTCAGATCACACAGGTTTACGAGAAACACAACACGTGGGAGGCACCGGAGGCGAACACACGAGACGAGTCCCCGAGGCAGAAGAACACTCAGGTTTACCTTGCCCAGCTCGGCTCTGACGGGAGTCTACACTTGCCTGTCTTCGGTCTGGTGGCTCCTCGTTCCCTCCATCTGCATGAGAACCAAAACAGCACAAGTAGAACATCATAGTGGACAGGTCAGGCAGATGCAACTTTTCCTTGAGTCCCATCACCTATCTCGGGAGAACGGCAGGACAAAAGGTCCCTCTGGCAGATTGGAACCGAAGAAACCACTGCCTGGCTCTGCTGCTCCTTCCAGCTTCTCCCCAGCTCACTGCACATGGAATCCGGGAGGCCCTCGGGATAGGAGGAGGATTTTAATTGCTCCTACTGACCCCCCCCAGGACATTTGAATGAAATAGGAACCAAATTGTGCATCTTCTCAACAAAAATTGTGCCTCTTCAACGAGCTCTTCCACTTTGGGCCATTATCTCAAAATATAAAAATACTGAGCTTTGGAATTAAGAGATCTAGGAGAACAAAAAAAAAATTGAACTATGGAATTTGAAACTGTGTCCCTCTAAAATTATTTGTCAGCTAAAAGCTGGGAAGGCTGGGAAGAACAAAGCCACTGGTGACATCCTCTTGAAACTCTTTAGGAAAGCAGCTACAGTTCACAAATCCCAAACCCATCTGCATAAATGCAGAGTGGGACCTTGTGTACAATATTATACAATTAATTACAGGCTGCTCTTCATTGATCAACTGACCAGATTAGAAACAATAGATTCGCCCATCAATACAGATGCTCGAGTACATGGGATTTCTGGCAGCTGGGAGCACAAAGAAGCCCAGCTCTGCACAGTGGGAAGCAGCAAACCCAGGGGTTTCAAGTGCAGGATGTATTTCAGTGGTTCTTACCCCTTATGGCAGGGGAAGGGGAAGCTTTCAGAACCTTTAAAAATAGTTTTGAAATAACTGAATTCTTAAATAGCTGTTCAAAACCTCAACAGTCGGGTTTAGCATTGAAACTTTCCGATGCTACTAAAAGCAGCTGCACTCTGATATATTTATAACTCTGGATATCTCTAAAGAAGTTATTTGTTGGAGGGTCCTGCTGTGCCATAAAGTAATTTATCAACTCCTATTACATGTGAGTTCTGTCTGGCTTAAAGGGAAGTTGTGAACTGCAGCACAAGAGCAGAACTGATATGGGGACCAAAAATTTCAGTCTACTCCCCCCCCAAAAAAAAGCAGGATCTCAGCCCAGGCTGGAGGAGGTTTTTTGTTTCCTCTTCTCTTCCCAGCCCTCAGTTTCCCTGAAGCCTTGCTCAGGCACCTTGAACAGGTGCCAGCAAGGCCATTTTCTGTCACCTTTGCATCTTTCCCTGCTGACAAAGCAGCTGCACGTGAAGGTCACTCAGCTACAGCAACCCCGAGTATCAATTTATACCAACTCTTCCCTCCCCCATAAGGCATCAACTGCCAGGTGTCAGGGGGGCCACAGGCCAGGACACCTCCCCTGCTCCCTTTTCCATTCTGGATGTGACACTGCAACCACCACTGCAAGTGGGATGTGTCCACAGGAGCTTTTATTAGCCTGGAGAGACTCTCCTGGGATTAGCTGCACTGAGCCTTCCTACAGAGAGCAGCACTGGCAGAGCCCTGTCTCTGGATCTGCACTGGTAACACCCAGCACTGGTTTGGACAGTGCTGTGCACAGAGGTCACATCACCATCATCATCATCATCATCATCACTAAATGCCCACAGCTGCAAACTCCCATGGTCAATCTCTAAGCCATGGAGAAAACAAAAACCTTTGAGCTCCGAACACAAATCCAAATGCAAAATAATTAAAAGGACTGAACGCTGCAAAATAAGACAAAGTCCCAATATTAAAATCAGGAGTAAAACCCTGTATTTGGCCAAAGCCACCTGATCATCAGCAAAAGACAAACTTCATCCCTGAGAGTTCCCCCCATCCCTGGAAGTGTCCAAGGCCAGGTTGGACAGGGCTTGGAGCAACCTGGGCTAGTGGAAGGTGTCCCTGCCCATGGCAGGGGGTGGAATGGGATAATCTTTAAGGTCCCTTCCAACCCAACCCAGTCCAGGATCTCTGATGATTCTCTGAATCAATCTCTTTGATCACTTGGAGAGGAAACACCTCTCCTGTACCATCACCTGGGTGTGTCAAACCCAGCCTTGAGAACAAGCCCTGGCCAAGGCAGAGCGCTGGGGGCACCAGACATGGGGTACAACAGGGAACCCCTTTCCAAACCTCCCAGAACAGTATCAAGACATTTCACTCCTCCCCTAGTTGACCTGAGAAAACCAAATGAGCCAACACAAAGGAACCCAAGGGAGATGGGGATGAGAAGATCATCCAGCCCCTCACGGCGCAAGAAGACGGGACACACTCGTCCTCGTTGGTCCATAATTTTCCTGGGATAAACATGATTTTTCCTTGCAGAATAGTGGTTTATTCAACTCTCACGTGCGATCTGGGCCAGAAATAACAGGATGGAAGGTGGGTTTGGGCAGCAGCTGCTCCCCAACATGCTCCAACACTCAATGGTGGGACACAGAATGGTGACAATGCTCTGCCAAAGCCATCGGGGTGGGGAAGAGGAACAGCTGCCCAGGAGCCAGAGGCTGGGACAGATCTCAGCAAGTTACAACGATGTACAAAGGGGGAGAGAAAGCTCACAGCAAATTAACTTCCAGAACGAATTTAGGAGGGTGGGAAAGGTAAAAATAAACCAGATGACTCAGCAGACATTAAATCTTCAGTCGACTCACGGGCGCTGCTGCATCTGGTGTGGCTGCAGCAAAGGAGGAGCTTGGGGAACCCAGGGCATCCTGTTGGGCTCATCCTCATCCAGTGGCTTTTAAGGAATATTTTAAGAACTCCCCCAGCCAGTGTGGTGCTCTCCTTGTGACAGAGATCCAGCAGTGCAGGTTGGGCACAACCCAGGGGTTCATTGTAACCCAGGTAAGGCTGTTTTGGGAAGCCCTTTGCCCTCTGCCCATGGACCACCAACCCTCCCACCTGCCCTGCCCTGCACATCCAAGTAAAAACAGTGGAAAACACGGAGCATCCTGCAGCAGATCCAGGCAGGAGGGATCCTCCAGGGCAGGAAAGAGGAAATGAAAATACTTGGAATAAAATATAAAAAAATACAAACAAATCAATGCCAGGGAGTGGAGAAGGCTGGCAGCTGCAGAATTAACAAGTATGGTGAGAGGCACAGAGGCTGCAGGACGGGAAGGAACAGCCACAGTTAAGAGCTGAACAACTGAACTATTTAATTTTTTTCCTCTCTTTGCTACAAATCAGAATGTTGAGCACACTCAGCTCCTGGCAGTGGAGGATCAAGGTTACCAGGGAACAACAGCACACATAATTAAAGAGTTATCTTCAAGTAGATGCAAAAAAAGGGGAAATTACTGTTGCTGAGGCAATATTAATTCTCACGTTTTTCAACCTTTCAAGTGCTCGAATTTACAGCGTTGATAAAGTCCATCTCTGTGTGCACACCAGGGCTCTGTCACTCCAACAATGCTCCCAGTTATTTTATTTATGCATGATTTTAGGCAGTTGTCAGTATTTGCTTCAGCAATAACTATTATTTATAGACATGACCTACTATCTGGACAATAGTTTGGGGACAGTATCACTCGTGGAGTTCAATCAACTCAGTTGCTGTAACGATTGTGAGCGCGGTGAAACACCAGAGTTATCGACAAACCCCCCGATGCAACAGCTAAAAGAGGTCACCAGCAGCAAATCATTGTTGTGAAATCATTGCTGGAGAACACAGCTGCCTGTGTTAATTTAAAATAAAGATCAGAACAGACTCTGGTTAAGGAGCTTCTACAGAAGTTGTAATGAGAAACAGAAAACAGATATTCTTTACAAATGCCACAAGGGAAGTGAATAATATAGTAAATATTATATAGTAAATAGTAAATGCTGACTCTGTAATCTATATTCTCTTGCACCTCACCAGGAAAACTTCTGTGATTTTTTTTTTTTTTAAATCTCAGTGTTAAGTCCATTAAGACTCACACATTATTTTAATTTCCAAAAGATGCTGTCTCATCAGTGTCCAGCATTCCTGCAGCTGGGATGTTGGAACCTGGGGTCAGAAACCCAAAGAGTGCCTGGTTCTGTGGCAAGCATAGAGTAAATAAATAGTCATGGCTATCAATCCTTTCCCTCAGTTCCAAAGAGGTTAAGGAACTCAAGGATCATGGTTAGTCCCAGCTTCAGCAGAGCAGCCTCTCCTGCTGTAACCAGGTCTTAGGAACGCTCCTGCTTCCCTTTCTCCCCCAGTTCTCCACTAAAACCAGTGACACAACAAACCCTCCCAATACACACAACAACTGGATTCTTTGAACGGGAAAAGAAAATCTCAAGGGTTTCAGCATTCCTAAACAAATCCACTGCACAAAGCACCGTGTGGCCACCAGCACGAGGGGGCTGCCAACAGGAGCCAGACCCCTCTGCACCGGCACATCTGATCCCTGCAAACCCCACAGCCCCTCCAATGGTATGTCAGCAAACCCCACAGCACTCCCATGTGATGTCAGCAAATCCCAAAGTACTCCCATGTGATGTCAGCAAACCCCAAAGCACTCCAGTGTGATGTCAGCAAATCCCACAGCCCCTCCAATGTGATCCCAACAAATCCCACAGCACTCCCATGTGATGTCAGCAAACCCCATAGCCCCTCCAACATGATCCCAGCAAACTCCACAGCACTCCAGTGTGATCCCAGCAAACTCCACAGCCCCTCCAGCAGCACCTCCCGCCAGGTGTTCCCATTAAAGGCAAACACAACAAGTTTCATATAAAATCAAGTGCCAACAGTATTCCTGGTTTCTTATTTCATTTCCAACCCACACCGTGACTAAACCTCTCCCCAGACCTCTGATGTGACAAGGCAGTTTTGAAGGCAGATAATCCGAGGTGGGTGAGGCTGCTCCAGCACGCCGGGAAATCCGCAGCGGAGCTGGCAGAGCTCCACTGGAAGAGCTGATCAATAGTTTAAATCCATATCGTATCAAAAAGGCAGAAGAGACTCACACAAAGCCAGTCCAGCCCTTAGGAAGGGCTCCGATCCCAGCCCAGCCCGGCATCCCTGC